TGCACAGCCAGACCCTCTGTCAGACAGTGATGGCTACAGTGGGAGCAAACTCATTGGACTCTCCTCTTCTGCTGGCTGCGGCTTTAATTACAGAGCAGCTAGCAAAGCCACAAGTGCTCTCACAACAGAACCCCAACTTAAAAAGAGAGCCACAGACATCAGGCCCCTTGCCAGCTCAGCTGCCTTCCTCCCCAGACCGATTCTGAGGAAAGCCTAGAGCACCCACCTTTGGCGGTAGAGAGCAGGGGCCCTTCTAATGTCCCTGGTGAACCCAGCACCCAGCCTTACAAGGAAGCAGCATTCCTGGCCAGAACTCACAGGAGTACGGACTAATTCGTAAACACTGAACAGTTTAATGCTGCAAACAAGCTGCCTGGTGTAGAGCAATTTTTTCCATAGAAGTACATGCTCCTAAAGGTTAAGTCAATTTGCTAAGGCCTCTTGAGTGTTTTTTCTTCTTCATTCAAATAGCACTGTCTAGGGTCAGAGGGGATGCTGCACAAAGCAGCAGGGTTTGCGGGATGAGTTTGTCTGACCTCCATTAACAGAACTCTACAAACCAGTATTATGTTTTGTCAGACTTTTCAATAGTATCAGACTTCACAGAGGAAGCTTAGCAAGCTCCAAAGAGAATAGATCTCTAAGTGGAGGTCCTTTTCACTTAAAATAAGTAAAAGGTTTACTGATGTTCTTCTTTTTACATTAATTTTAATTAATTTTACATTGCTGTCTCCTCCATTGGCCTACCTCCCTCTGTTGCTGTTGAGTTGTTTTTCAGTCATGCCTGACTCTCTGTGACCCCATTTGGGGTTTTCTCGGCAAAGATATTGGAGCGGTTCACCATTTCCTTCTCCATCCGGCTCATTTTACAGAACAAACAAGGTTAAGTGACTTTCCCAGGGTCACACAGCTAATAAATGTCTGAGGTCAGATTTGAACTCAGGGTCTCACTGACTCCAGGGCTGGCACTCTATCCATTACACCACCTAGCTACATAGAACCCTTCCTTGCCATAAAAAAATAAAGCAAAACAAATCAGTGCATTGCCCATGTCAACACATACTTCACTCATATATCCTCGTGTTGAAAGGAAGGAAAATCCTTCACCACCAGTCCTTGCAATCCCTATTGGTCCCCGCATCAGAGTTGTGTTGTCTTTCAAAGTTGTTTTTCTTGACATCATGAAATCCTTATGTCAAGTTGTTCTCCTTATTTCACTCCATGTCAGTGACTTGTGTGTAACCTGCAAGTCTTCCCAAGTTTCTTCCCACTCTTTTCTCCACATATCAAAGTTCATTTGCATCCATATGCCAGTGTGTTCCATTATTCCCCAATCGATGGAAGCCCACTTTGCATCCAGTTCTTTGCTTCCCCAAAAGTACTCCTCTAAATATGTGTGTGCTTGGAAAAATTTCCTTCAGTCTTTGACCTTCTTGTAGACTATTGTGTCCTTTTCCAGGGATGGCAGGACTTTGGTGTTCCCTGTTCCTAGAAAAGACCTTACTTGCCCTTTCAAGTAGTCAATGCCTACGCTATAGTTTTGTTTCCTCTAAAATAAAATAGCCCTTGCCAAGAGAGGCTAAGTCTGCTAGCTTAATGCATCTCCCATCTAGGAAAATATTAAGATCATGTTTTGTCAGAGCTAGAGGGGAGATAAAACATATCACATCGAACCCCCTCTTTTGTTTTACAATCTTTGTCATAGTTCAACAAGGAGTTGTCCACTGTTACCCTTTTCCCAAAAAGCCCAAGGCTAGATTATCCAATTGCCTTTTGAAACACTCCTTTGAGATAAGTAATAGCAAGTATAAATAGCCTCACAATTTTTTTTTAACTTGGGCACAGAGAAATTAAAATGTTTGCCACAAAGTCTCAGCGTTTTTCCTGAGAAAACAAGGACTAGAAAGCAGGTCTTCTGGCTTGTAGGCTAAAATCCCTGTCATTAGGCCACTAAATCTCATAAATCCCTATGAGGCACACATGGGGGAAGGAATAAAGCTATGCTAAGGAGGCAGAAAAACAGTTTCGGCCTCCCTCTAAAGCGTTTAGATTTGCCAAAACTTTTAGATGAAGTCTTTCTGGGGTATAAGCCAAAGTACACACAGAAAAATAATATATTGAGGCTCTCTGAAAAGAAAAAAGAGGGGGGAGGATATAAAGCCCAATGGGGAAAAATAAAATAGCCTGTTTCTCTATGGGACTGCTAAGCACTTGGTCAGTACTTCCCCCCTACTCCTTACTCACCACCCCCTCTCTCTTTCTCCTTTCACACAGTTAAGACTTAAACCACAGGAAACTGAAAGGACTTTGATGGGTTAAAAGATGCCATCCATTAAAGGGTCATAAGGCCTGGTGCTCTGTGCATCTGTCACTGAATTAACCAAATCAATTGGGAGTGTCATGCTGTCTAAAAGGTTAGGGAATCAGTCTCAGGAACATCTTGATTCCATTAAGAGGTCTGGCTGAGAACAGAAATTAAACATTGTTTTCCTTGCATAGTATCTGGCCATCTAAGAAGAAAGTAGATACATTAGAACCCCTTTGTATGGCTGATTTTGAGGGACAGGACTAATAATCATATTGGCAAAAAAAAAATCAAGCTTTTATGATACATAGTTGACATATTTGGGGACCGTGATTTGATCCCTGGTATATCTGAATCTGTGTAATTATGAGCTAGGTTCTAACAATCCTACCATACTTTCTGCTAGTAGTTTTATACATATACATACATATATATATATATATATATATATATATATATATATATATAATATATATATATATATATATATATATATATATATACATACACACACACATATATATACACACACATATATATATACACACACATATATATACACATATGTGTGTGTATATATATATGTATGTGTGTGTGTGTATATATATGTATATATGTATACACACATACACATACACACACACATATACATATATATATATATACATATATATATATATATATATATATGGGGGTAGATTTCTTATTTAGAGAAAGTGATTGCTCTAGTTAGAAACTCCGGTGAACCAAGAGTTGGTTTGATCAAACTGAGGCAAAACAAACCCAAAGAGGGAAAAAATATATAAACTCCCAGAGTTCAAAAACAAAGAGAAGTCCATTATAGGCCTCTGCCTGCCTTGGACTGGCCCTGAAGAAAGCAAGAAATAACTCATCCAAATGGTCTGCTTTCCAGTATCATCAAAAACATTTGCTAAGTACAAAATTGAATATAGTACCATGCAAAGAAAGTTATGTGACCACAAGCCTTGAATTAATCTGAGACCTGGAAATCTACTGCTTTTATTTTCACATTGTTGTAAGTAGAAGGCTAATGAAGGAAAGAATGGGAAAAAGGAGGCTAAGCAATTACAAGTAGGGAACTCATTTGAAATAAGGAGAGTGGGGCTTCTCACAAACAGGAAGGAGTCAGACATAGTGCTTCTGTGACAATGTTAGAAACAAAGTATGAATCATCATCCTGATGGAGCTAATTCTTACGTGACTATTTACCATTAGATATATGTGGCTTCTTTCCTCAATTAAATAATAGTCTCCTGGGGGGTAGAGACCATGTACCCTCTGTAACATCAAGCACATTGGTAGGCATTCATTAAATAATCATTGAGAGAAAGAAATAAAAAGAAAAGGAAAGGAATGGAGGGAAGGAAAGGAAGAAAGAGAAACATGGAGTTGGAGTCACAAAACCCGAATTCAAGTCTCAACATTGCCTCTCACCACTTGTATGATGTTGTGAAAGCCACTTAGCCTCTCTCCCATCTCATCCAGTCATCATTTTTAATGAATTCATTGACTGAAGAATTATCAGTACACTCAGAAGTTAGTTAAAAGTAGCTCTACCTTTAGAAATGGAACTAAATGAGACAAAAATCCTATCATCTGCTTTTATGTTGTACACTTCATTTTTATCTCAAGCTACATACAAATAATAAGCTTAATCTTTTTCATTATGAGGAAGGAACTTGCCTAGAGATCCATTCAGTCTTTTAAATACGAAGGTTTCTTGAGGAAGAGATAATTTAATCAATACAAATTTTAGAGGTTTGAATAAAAATTCAAGCATTCATGAACCTTCAAATTTTCCTTCTCACACTCTTTAAAAGCAGTATGAAAGTGACAAAGAGTTGCTTAGACTGAAAGTCCATCTTTTTCATCATCTGTTCTACTGCTTAGCTACATAACCTGAGACAAGTCACTTAATCTTCTGGGCCTCTCTTTTTTTTTCCCCCCCAACAAAATAAACAGGTTAGTAGCTAGCATTTATATAGTGCTTTTGAGGGTTGCAACAAGCACATATACATCTCTTCTCATTTAATTGGTCACAGCAACCTTGTGAGGTAGGTGTCATTATTGTCCCCATTTTACAGGTGAAACAACTGAGGCTGAAAGCGGTTGAGTGACTTACTCTCAGCCACACAACAGACTGAGGCAGGTTTTGAACCCAGGTCTAGCATTCTTACCTACTATGCCATTTGGTTGTCCCTAATCTGATCTCTAAGGCTTTTACCCTTATGATTCTCTAAAGATATTTCAATAAGAGAGGTGATTTTTTTCATCCTTTGTGGATAATTCCAACCATCCACGAGCTCAGTGATACAAACCACATCTTAGTGTCTTGTATGGTTATTCCCCTTTTTATTTCCATAGATCCTCCAAAGAGGATGGATCTACCCAATGTATTGAAGGTCTTCCTCTGTTTTGTTTGTTTCTATACATTTCATGGGTACTATTGCAATACTCTAGTTGTCCACCTTTTAACTCTCAGTGCATTTACATAAACTAGCCCATGAGCCCTATTGCTTATATATATATATATGTATGTACATTTCTACACACCCACATTCCTTATTCTTCAGTAAGAGGGTCACAAGATCACCAATTTAGAGCTAGAAGAGAACACAGCCTTTCCATTTGAGAGATACAGATACTAAGGGGCAGAGAGGTCTAAATGACTTACTTGTCCAAGGTCAAACAGGTGATTTGTGGCCAAGCAGCTGGTCTGGCATCCTCTGCCTCTAAATTCAACATTGATTCCAGTCTACCATGTTACTTCAAGGATCTGTGATTTCTTTGGAGTAAATGCTACCTGTCCTGATTCAGATTGTTACCCACTCTGTACCTAACGAGACTGTCTTTGTTGAGTCACACAAGCCTGAAAAAGTAATCTCTTCCCCTGATTATGAGCCCTTCCAAATTTAGCTGGGCTCTCCGAGGAAAAATAAATATGCAATGTGTCATCAAGCCCATAGTTTGGGAGAGCCGACAAGAGCTGGCAGAACCTAGACTTATTCTGTGTCACAATAAGCCAGATATCCTCACTGATATCTAAATGTAGTACTGTACTCCTGGTTTCTGTAATATGAAGTTGACCAAAAAAAATTTTTTTGGTTCATGTTTTCGAAGCATTTTGAAGATATGTCTATCACCTTACCATTTATTGATTCTTCGCTATATGTGATGACTACTTGGTCTAGTGAAAAAAAATAATTCACATGGAGGTTATTCTCTTTACCAGTGACTCAGCAGTAGTCAAGAGGAGAATCAGCATTTCCCCAAACTTCTAGACTCTGTATCCTTATCGCCATTGCCCTGACACCCCCAGTCAGTGACTACATTCCCTTTAAAGGGATATGCTGGCAGAGGTCTCCATAAATATGTGTGGATGGTGACAGTTAATGACATCAGGCCCCTCTGTCATTGCCACTGCAGTTGCATCACAAAAAAAGTGTGGTAAATTACTTTTTTTTAGAGTTGAACACTAGTCGTCTATAAAATTTGGGCTTCAGCACAAAAATAAGGGTATGTTATTGGAGTCCTGTTTTTTTAAGCATTTATATTCTGTCCTGGCAAGCTTCTCAAAGGTGATTTTTTTATTAGCTACTCTTTTTAATATTCCTTTTAGTATGTTAATATACCTTTTGGGATATATTGTTATTCTCCCCTCATTATATAAATTAAGACACTGAGACTCAAAAAGTAAGTTATGGGCCTTGGGTTACAATGAAAATCAGTGGCAAATTGGAACCCAGAACCCAAGACCATTCAGTCATGTTCCTGAAGTCCAACAGCATGCAGGATTTTAGTGCAAATTTCCAAATGGAGCTTATAAGGGTTTTATACATAATCATCTTCATCATTTATATAGTGCTTCAAAATTTTCAAAATGCTTTATAAAAATCTCATCAAATTTCACAACAACCCTGAGAAATGGGTGCTATTATTATCCCCATTTTATAGATGAGAACTATGGTAGACTTAGATTAGGTGACTTGGCCAGGTCACATAACTCAGAAGTGTCTGAAGCTGAATTTGAACTCAGTACTTCCTGACTCCAGGTTCGTTCAGTCTACCTAATGCATCACTACCCACTGAGGGACACGGAAGGATGAGGTACTATATAGAAAGCTTTGTTGACTATATAGAAAGTCATTTTTTGGTTGTCCAGCTCTTTGTGACCCCATGTGGGGTTTTCTTGGCAAAAGATATTAGGCTGGCTTGCTATTTCCTTTTCCAGCTCATTTTATGAATGAGGAAACTGAGGCAAACAAGGTTAAGTGACTTGCCTAGGGTCACACAACTAGTAAATGTCTGAGGCCAGATTTCAACTCAGGAAGATAAGTCTTTCTGACTCTAGCCCAGCACTCTATCCACTGCCCCATAGAAAGTCTAGAGAAAGCCAAAGCACTAATGACAGAAGGAATCATTTCCCTTTTATCATTTCTGGGGGAAAAAAAGAGAAAGAAAAATCATTGTGAAGGGAAGAAGGGCTTGTTGAGACATTTCCTATTTTTCAGTCACTTTTTCCTCTTTCTCAACATCTTTCCACTTTAAAAATGAAGCACACACAAATTGCCATTAATTCATAGTCTCATGTAGAAAGGAAACATGGTCAGAGGGTTAGCGTAATGTACCAGGTGTCCCTTAGTTCTATTTCTGTTTCTACCACTGACTTTCTGGGTGGCCTTAGTCAGAGGATTTAACTTTTCTAGGTCTCATTTCCCCATCTGTTAAAGCAGAAGAAAGAACATTTGCCATTAACCCTTCTTGAAAAGGTGTCCAAAGTTCAAAGAGAAAACCTTTGCAAAGCTTTTTATGCAGAATCTCAGATGAATGGTATTAACCAAGTATTATTTTATATAGGTAATAATTAATAAATTGTTTGGTTATTGATAGGACACTGTGTTTTTCATAGCCTCTAATTAGCTTTTCATACATGATTATCCTGGAAAAAAAAAGTGCACAGAATCCTAATGGAACTAACCTTGTTTTAGTATGGCTAATAATGATCAGGTATATTTCTAGTGAGCCTTTCATCTGAAGATCTCAAAGCACCTTATGTTCTTTATCTAGGAAGAGGGTTATTATCTGGGACACAGAGATGCTATCTAACTGCCCTGAGGTGTCTTCCCATTCTTATTCTATCTGTAAACCCGAATCGTCTTATATGAGGGAGGCAGAATCAAGTCAAGTCGGCAAGCTTTTATTAAGTATTTGTGTTGTGCTAAGGACTGGGAATACAAATACCAGCAGGAAGAGAGTCTCCTGCCTTCAAAGAGCTTACATTCAAATGGGGGAAGACCACACAAAAAGGATCTGAAAAGAAGGACTGAAGAGGGTTTCCAAGTGGGGGCATGGTAGAGGAAATCCAGAGCCTTGAGAGGAAAGAAGAAGTGGTTGGCCTGGGTGGCCTCTTTCAAATTAAGAACTAGCCAATTGGAGGAAGAGGCTGCAGGGGCAGAGAGTATTTCCAGTGTGAGAAGTCCAGGCCACAAAGGTAGAGTGTACTTTCAGGGCAAAGAGGTTTCTGTGGCATGGTAGAGAAAGTCTACAGAGTCAGGAGCGCAGATGGGAGAGGTATGAGGACTTGGCTGGCCTGGGGTCCTCCTTCAAATGGAGGTTCTGGAAGGAATCTGCTGGTTTTCACTCTACCAGCCCAAGGCTTAAAGTGCCAAGAGGACAGAATATCTGGGGAATAGGGCACTAAAGAGGAGAGCCTAAATATGTTCTAGTCAACTATAGAATCTCAGAATTCAAAGGGACCTCACAACCTATCCCCAAAAGAGACATATCTCTACAATATCTCTAACAAGTGGTCATCCAGCAAGGTGGCACAGTGGATAGGGCACTGGGCCTGGAATCAGGAAGACCTGAGTCCAAATCCTGCCCCAGATACTTCCTAGAAGTGTGACCCTGGACAAGTCGCTTAACCTCTGCCTCAGTTTTCTCAAATGTAAAATGAGGACAATAATAGTTTCTACCTCACAGAGTTGATGTGAGGATCAAATAAGATCATATTTGTAAAGCTCTTAGCATAGTGTCTAGCATATAATAGGTGTTTAATAAATGCCTGTTATCTGTCCTTTCTTTTCTTTCTCTTCCCTTCCCTCTCCTTGAAGACCACTAATAATGGGAAATTTCTACCCATTGCTTCTCATTCTGCCCTTTCTGGGCACACAGAAGTCTACTTGTTCTGTGTGACATTTGTTTAGATATTTGAAAACAGCTCTCATTTTCACCATAAGTATTATTTTCTCCAGAAAAATCCTTCCATTGTTTATTATTTTCTCTAGATCCTTCAGTTTCTGGCATGAATTCCAGTTCTCTCACCATCCTGGTTAGTTTCCTCTAAACATTCTCTAGCTTTGTCACTTTCCTTCCTAAAACAAAGCACACAAAATGGAACATGATACTAAAGATGGGAATGGACCAGAATATAATAGAACTCGACCCTCCATCATCCTGGAAACCCTACCTCTCTCAATAGCACTTCAGTCTATTTCTCATTTGGAAGTGTTCCAGCTGACTTGAGCATGTTATCTACTGAAAACAACAATAGTCTCTTTTCAGATAAATTGAAATGGCTGTCGTCATACCCCATCTTAAAGTTGATATTTTGATCCCAAGTGCAGGATTTAATATTTATCTCTATAAAATTTCATCTTATTGTAGTGAGTATGCATAGTCCTGCCCTGGGTCTTTGTTGCCCTGACAATAAGGTCTTTATTCCAGTATTTGGGGTTTCTGAGGAGTCAGGCAATCTGCCTCTCCAGTAAATCCCACCTTGCATGGCAGTTCTCTAGTCATACAGTGCTACCCAGGGTAGAATCCCTCTTAAAGGGAAAAGAATTTGGGTTACTAGAAAATCAAGCAACCCCCACATATGATGAATTCCATCCCACTGAGCCATATATGATTGCTAAGGCCTACAGTAGTACTCTTAATGGACACCCTCCACATACAACTGGAAAGCACTTGACGTCAGTGGGTTATCAAACCCTACTCAATAGGACCTAATCACAGCTGAGGAGAGGCAAGGTCCAGGTTTGCTCCTTTATATCGTGACTCTATCCTTTTTCTTGCTTATTTTCTCTGGCTTCCATTTGTTCCAAGAATTCTGTGGCTGCTCAGCTACTGTTCCACTTCTATCTACTCATCCCTGTAGCTTTCACTTTGATCCAGGAAACCCTTAGTGCTCAGAGATTTCCTCAGTCTCCTGCCATCCCTAGAGCTCTGTGGATCTTTAGTGACTTGACATGGTTCTCTGGAGGGGTATAAGAGTAGGATTCCTTCTAGGGAACCAAGTTTGTATATGCCCAACTGACCTCTCTCCATCTGATCTCCCAGCTCTCAGGCTGCTTGGCCTGCTTCTCCAGCTATCAGTTTTAAAGATGAAGCCCAAGGGCATAGATCAAGTATGTGAACTGGTGGTGAATCAATCCCAGCAACATCAAGGTGTGATGTCAACTAGTATCCAGAACACATGCAAGAAATTCATCCTTTATTAAAGAGTTAACCCTATGAAAGGAATTTCATACCTTGTTTAGGAGATAACAATCAGTGCCATGATATAGTCCACACCATTAAGGACAGTGAACAATTTTAAAACTTGAATAAGTTATTGATAAAAGTGTTGAACAGAATAAGGCCAAGTCAGATCCCTGGAGGTCTCAGTTGGGGTCCTGACTCTAAGTTGACTTCAATGACATATCTTTGGGTCTGGTCATTCCACCATATCTGAATCCACCTTACCGCGTGATTGTTTCACCAGCATCTCCCAATCTTATGTAAAATGATAGCAGCAGAGACTCTCAAATGCTTTGCTTAAGCCTAGGTAAATAACATTCCCCTAATCTGCCAATCTGGTAACCCTGTCAAAAAAGGAAATGAGTTTAGTCTGGCATGACCTGTTCTTGATGAAGCCATGCTGGCTCTCTGTTATCACTGCTTCCTTTTTTAGATGCTTACTAATAATCCCTTTAATAATGCATTCCAGAATGCACTGGGGTTTTGCCAGGAACTTAAAGTCAAGCCCATGGGCCTATTGCAGAGGCCACTTTCTTTCTTTGTTTGAAAATCAGGACACTGTTTGCATTTCTCTAGCCCCATGGCATTGCTCCCATTCTCCATGACCTTTCAGAGATCACTAACGCTGGCTTAGCAATCACATTCACCAGCTCTGGGGTGTAGTTTATTAGGATCTGGTCACTTGAATTCATCAAGGGCAGATGGGAACATCCATTGTCTCCTTATGTACCTTGGATTTCAATTTTTTATTAACCATTTTTTTTCTGTCTTTTACAATCCAAGAATCATTCTCCTTGGCAGAGAAAACTAAAAGATGCAGAACATTCAATTTAGATATATTCTGTAACAAACTAACAAACTATAACTTTATCCCAGATTAGCCAGCACCACGCCAACTTCAAAAATAGAAGTTGCTGATGCCTTTTGTTTTTTATATTAGTCACTTCTAGGTATATTGTTCTTACCCAATAAGCCCTCCCTTTACAGCAAAGGAAAGCAATTAAGCAAAACCAACGACAAGGGTTGGTAGTTGGTACAGTGGATAGAGCAGCAGACCTAGAGTCAAGAAGTCCTGAGTTCAAATCCAGCCTCACACATTTACTAGCTGTGTGACCCTGGGCAAGTCACTTGATCCTGTTTGCCTCAGTTTCCTCATGAGCTGGGGAAGAAAATGGCAAGCCACTTCAGTATCTTTGCAAACAAACAAACAAACAAAAAACCCAAATGGGGTTATAACGAGTCAGACACGACTGAAATAACTGGACAAAAAAAACCAATCCAGTGACCAAGGCTGACAGGGTATGCATCATTCTACACCCTTTGTCTACTTCCACTCTCCTGAGAAGAGGAAGATGCTTTTCGTCAGTGGCGTCAAAATCAAATAGAAACTGATCCCTATGGGCCATATATTGGCTTAGAAAACCACAAATTAGCATTATCTATGTTGTATTTTATTTTATTTTTAAAAATATTTCCCAGTTACATTTTAATCTGGTTCAGACCTGCACTGGAGAGTTTTGCAGGCTGAATGGGGCCCCAAGCTGGGAGTTTGATACCTCTGCTTTTCATCTGTTCTCCAGGGCCAGGATTAGTCATTATACTTAAGAGTTTCCTGTGTTGTTTTCATTTGCATTATTGTAATCTACGAATATATTGTTCTATATTTTGCTTATTTCACTCCATATAGATTCATGCAAGTCTGGGCATAGGGCTCTTAATTGTCTTGGCAATAGTCTACCCCACCTCAGGTGCCTTGATATCCTCCAATGCTCCACTATAGAAACCTAGTCCTCAAGAAACATTTCAAAAATCCTTTGCCACATTCAATAGTTTTGTCTTTCTCATTCCCACAATTTCCCTTTCCTTTTCAACATATCTATCTAGCAATATTTTGGCCTATGGTAGGGAAGTCTTATCTGTTCTGACTCAATTCAAGCCTCTTTTGCAAGAAAAAATGAAGTTTTGAATTATGTTGACAGCCAGAACCCAGAAAGGACAAGTATATAGCACATAAAAAAAAAATTGAGGACAGAGCAGCTTCTTTAGGAAGAGAGAACCAGGACTCCAGAGTTCATTTCCTAGGAAGAAAAAGGAGAGCGCACAATCATTCCCTTGCCCAGAAGTCCTCTCCGCCCACCCCCATCCCACCCCCTGGGGCCTGCTGGGTAGAACCACTGTCAGCGAGCCTGTGAGAAGCAGCAGCAGCCGCAGGAGACAGACCCTCGGCAGAGTCCAGATGGTTTTGTTTGTGCTGGCTGGCAGACGCGTAACTCTCTACACCAGGCAGCAGTAGGGAGCATTTAGAGGAAAGGCTTGGTTTTTGTTTTGTTTTGCCCGGGCTGGGGGATGAAGGAGGAGGAGTTGCCAGGGAACTCACCACAAACATTACTCAGCTCCATAGGGTCTTTTATCAGTCGGAGGGGAGGAGAAAGGAAGACTAAGAGAGAAGCAAGTGCTTTGGATGCAGCCAGTTGGAATTCCCTTATGCATTTCTGCACTACCAGGCATTGCTTCCTCTTCCGTGCTGGGAGAAGAACCCTAATGATGTGGGAAAACAGCCTCCCTAACCACATGGCTTCCCAGTGGAACACAGTGTAACTATGCAGGTCTGTTATACTGAGAATAAGAGTGTCTGAAACAACTGTAGCTATTCCAAGCATCCGGACTTTTATCTGACCAGTGAGGGTACAAGAAAAGAGGTCCACAGACACATGGAATCCACCCTCCCACTCTCCCCAAAACCTTGGCCTTAATCCTAAACCTATCTCCATAATCTCCCAGCCCTTGATCTCCCCCTCTCCTTTAAAAAAAAAAAAAGGAAAAGAAATCTGAATACTAGTTTAGAAATTTTGTTACAAATATCAAGCGTATTTGACCTTGAGATGCTAAAAAAAACATGATATGAATAAAATGAATAAAATTCTTATTCTCTTTGCCAGCTATTTTTAAAAATAGGATTGGGAGGGGAAGCTGTGAGAACTGTTAGGGAACCATTAGGATAGCTTATGTGTTTTATTACATTAGTAACTGAGATAACTGCAGGTAGAATAGCTACCAATATATTTCCACTTGGAGGTAGAACAGGAACTTTACTTGCTTTTATTGAGAAATTTCAGAGTGATGTGTAGTTCCATCCTCCCTTGGAAACCATACTTAGAATTGGGTATCTGCACACAGACTCACAAAAGCAGCAATGAATCAATGACAAATAAGAAACAGCTGCAGGAGGTATTGACTGTTGTGGCTTTGGGTCATTCCTTTCCTTGACTATAGGATTTTTGCTCCTGTCACATGACTGACACCCCTCTCCCCACTTGGGGTTACCTTTCCAAAATATGGAAGTGATCCTCAGGTCTAGGGTTGAAATTTATCCTAAGCTATAAAAGGAGAGTAGAACATTTTGAAAAAAAAATATGAAAGCTGCAACGGGCGATATTGTTTATGAAAGAGCAATCAGAAATGAATGTAGCCTCTGTAGGAAGCATCTTTTAATCCTCTCCAGATTTACTCAGGGTGACATCTTTTAAGCAAACATTCCTTAGGTCTAGATAGTATATCATGGGAGCTGGATGGAAAACACAGTGCGAGACCTAACAAAATTGATACAAGGAAGAAAAACCTTTGGCTGAAGATGGAACAATGCAGTTGAATGGAGTATAGCTAAGGCAGGCAAGCAGGCTGTTTTGTTGCTGTTCAGTCATTTTTCAGTCACATCCGACTCTTCGTGGCCCCATTTTTTGGGTTTTCTTGGCAAAGATACTGGAGTGGTTTGCTATTTCATTATCCAGCTAAGTTTACTGATGAGGAAACTGAGGCAAACAGGGTTAAGTGACTTGCCCAGGGTCACACAGCTAGTAAGTGTCTGAGGCCAGATTTGGCTATAGCAGACCAGTAGATATGAGGGGTGGGGGAAGGGGGGGATGAGGAAAGGATCTTTAAAATTAGAGATGAGAACACAGAAACAATGATAGTTGCATGACCTTAGATAAGTCATTTAATCTCCCTGGGCCTCAGTTTCCTCATGTGTAGAGTAAAGGAAATGAGGAGGGGAAGGACTAGATGATTACTGAAGCCCCTTCCAGCTCCAGATCTGTAGCCCAAGATATACATTAGCTTAATGCATAAAATAAAGAGCAAAGGAAGGATGGAGAAAGTTAAAGGCTAGAAAAGAATGAACAAAAAAAGATGCAAACGGTGTTTTGTTTCCTTCTTTTCCCTTTTCAGTAAGGATAATGTCAAACTCTTAATTTGGTGATAAGAAACCCACCCATTATATATGTAATTTAAATTTTTTACTTTAACCTCTTTTATCATTTCCAAAAGGGTTAAATGATGTTTCATCAGATGAAAGGAAACCCCATTATTAGAATTAAATGAATGCAGTCTTAATTGCTTCCAAACATTAAAATCAGATTTCTTAGATAATTTATCCACCACACACTAAAGGGGGAGGTCTGATTCAAAAGGGGTAGAGGCAGCCTAAGAAATATTTGCCAGGGCAAATTCTCATAGCAGCTTAAGCTCCCCACTTCCCATTCTCTACCCCTCTTCAACTGGGCTAAAGGTAAACTCTGGCTGCACAGAAAGTTGCTGCAGAAACAGAATTCTAGATTCTCTTTGTGTTTCAGAGAAAAGAATGGGCTTGACAGGCTCATATTGTTATCTCATGTTGCCTCCCCTAAATTAAGGTCATAACAGCCTCCGCCCTTCACAGAGAGGCTTTCTGAGGAGAGGAGTTTCCAAAGCACCAGTTCGAGTCAGGGATTCGTACACATTAGTGGGCAGGAAGTGGAGTCCCAATGGGAGACTGGGGAATTTGAACGCTTTCCCATTTCAGCACTCTGAGAGGAGGAAGCTCAGTTCAGCACTACTCACAGATGGCTACTGCTTACTTCTGAAAGATCCTTTTCTCTTTCTTTCTTTCCTCTGTTCTCTCTCTCTCTCACTCTCATTCTCTCGGAGGGAAAAAGTCTGCAAAGCTGAGAGCGGTCTGAGAGAATTAAACAAAGGGAAAGGATTGGAAAGAGCTTGGTTTTCCTTTTAAGAAACCTGCAGGACAATCCACACCCAGAGTGCCCCTTTTTAAAGCTGGCAATCCATTTGTCCCTGTCTGTTTCAAGCAAGAAACGGAGGATAAGGAAACAGGACATACAAATTGTACTTGGATGAGAGAACAGCCCACAGTAGAAGTTAACAGTGGACCAGACTACAGCTGTGAACTCCTACTGTATTTAAAGAAAGTTGTTTTCTCTTCAGATATTCCAATGGAGACAGTTAGAGAATCTGTACTTCAGAGAGAAGAAGTTTTCAGTGGAAGTTCATGACCCACGCAGGTAAGCTGGAAGATTCTTCTTGCATGTTTGAGTGGATGAGATTTGCATGACTCCATTGGAAGGGGATGCATTAATGTTTAGGGGTCTGCTTGTTTCTATGATGTTATTGTCCTTGTTCAGTCATGTTAAGAGATGGGTGGTTATAATATATAGACTATGCTCAGGATGCCAAGCTAGAAGGCAGACTAGAATGTGACAATAAATAGGGTGAACTTAGTCAACTTGATAAACTTCTGATACAGTTAGACTGCTGATGCCTCCAGTTTTGACACCCTGTTCTCCCCATGCAGATATCCCATTCAAGTAGACTGAAAGCTTTTTCCCCTCTCTAACAAAAAAAAAATCTTTGCATGGTTTAGTGTCTTTTGAGAAGTTTCCAGAAATGACAGCTATAGTATATACATAATTATAAGCAATTAGAGCAAAAGGGAGCACATAAATGAAGCAGTTCCTATGCTGGCTACAGAGTATCAAACGGCATCGTTCCCAGCCCCAAAATTTCACAGTGTGGAACTTATGCTCTGGGGTGGAAGAAATGTAGTTTAGTTTGTTTGGTTTTTTTCTGCATACATTGTATTTTACCATCCAGAAATTTTTTTCTGGGAATACTAGATTAAGACAAATCTGCTCATGCTGAAAAAGATGCTAAAAGAAAAATAGAGGGTCTTAGTTCAGAATACCACTTCAACCTAATGCTTTGCCTTTCTTTGTCTGCTAACAGCCCTAGAATTGTATACAGCCCACAAACCGCAGTTAGAAACCTTAAAAACAGGCCCAGTACCTAAACATAAATCATTTTAGACAGGTCCAGAGTCAGATTTACAACTAAAAGGTAGCTCTAGGGGGACATTGGTAAGATCAGACGCCTGCCAAGAAAAGGAGGTTGATTTTAAATACCATTAACTCTACCCCTTCCCTGCTCTGATGAAAAAGAGGTCTGGTACACAATCATAATTCTGGAGGGCCAATGATAAAGCATGCTATCCACCTTCTGACAGAGAGGTGATGGATTCAGGGCACAGAATGGATCTTTTTTGGATATGGCAATGAAGGAATTTATTTTGTTTGCCTATGTATATTTGTTACAAGGGCTCAGTTTTTCCTTTTGTCTTTTTTTCCATCGATGGGGAGGGGGAGGAAGGAGAGAAAATAAAATTTTCTTAATTAAAAAAATTTTAATTAAAAAAAAAAAGTCTGGCACATACTGTACCATGCATGAATTCCCTTCAGGTCTGCCTCCTGTTTTTTCACCCCACCCTATGAAGGGCCCCTGTACTTCCAAAGGATCTTCTCAGTATACTTAGGAAACATTGCCTACACAGGAAAAAGATGTGGCTCGTGCAATATAGTCTGTACCTGTAGCATATGACAACTCAGCAGGACAGATATGGAGCTTTAACTCAGTAATCTGCATAGAACAGCCATTCGAGTTAGAAGCAAAGGTCTTATCCTGCGTTTCACAGCTGACCAGTCGAGCAGAATCCGAAGGCACTTTGGAGGTTCCACTTCACAGGCATATAAGAAGGGGGAGCAAACCACATGATAGTGCTTTCTACAGATGGGGAGAAAGCACTGGTAATGGTTGGATGGAGTGTCCAATGTTCAGAAAATGCTGCCATAGTAGAGCAGGAATCAGAGTTGCTCAGAGGGGAAGGATGAAGCAGATTTGGAAGAGAATATTCTATACGAGGAGAAATTAGCAGAAATTTTCAGCCATGGGGCTCTAGGAGGAGAGGAAGAATAAGTGTCAAAATTTAGTCAGCTGCTCCTGTCTCAGTTTCCCCCAGCAGTCAAATTAGCACAAGAGTATTTTTTCTTTCTGCTTCACAGAGATATAGAAAAGGAAAAGAAATCCTCTGGACATAATATATAATAATCTACTATATAGAAAATGTAAGCCTTTAAATGGAGAGGAATTAATCAGTCGTTTGATTGAGGACCTTCTATTTTCAAGGCACCGGGGGAAACAACTGTGTCACTTACTGCTTGTGTGACCTTGGGCAAGTCACATCAACATTCTGAGCCTAAGTTTCCTCAGCTGTAAAATGATGGAGTTGAGTTCGATTCCCTGTAGCATCCTTTTCTATTCTAGTTCTATAAGTATGTGATACAAAGAAATATTAAAAATTTATTTCCACCCCCAAGGAAGGTACAGTCTAAGGGGGAGGGAGACATATGAATACCAAAATATGACCCCAGCATCATTCATAGAACAATAGAAGGCAGTGGGTGATTAATGTCATATGAGTATTATTAGTAGATTGACAGAAGGAATAGATTATCTTGGGCTGAGATAGGCAAGATAAACCCAACCAAGGAAAAAGAACCTGAGCTGGGCCTTCAAGGATGCATACACTGTAGATGTTTGACTAGGAAGGGAGGAGAGATTGGCAGGAGGATCCGGATGTTAAGTGAATGTTCTGTCTGCGCCTTCACAGAAGAGAGGAAGGAGCTAGGGCCCAGGCATCCTGCTGCTGTCAGTACATTCCAGCTGAGGAGATCCAAACTGCTCAACTAAACAGGAACTAGAAGGTGCAAGAAATACCCAGGAAAGATATTTCCCCCAGTGTTAATTGTATTTGTCATCCCAATTCTTGGTATATTGTTTTCTTTGGAGTACAGGAGATTAATCTAATTGACCACATGTAGCCATGATGCTAAGTAGTCAATACCCAACTCCTGAAACTTGTCTGTTAAGGATAAGGAAGGAAGTCAGAACTGAGCATGATGATAGGAAATGTCAGCTATAATCATTTCATTAAAATGCAATCAGTTGGATATTGCAACTTATAAGAAAATAATTTACTAGAGCTGATGTTTTCCCGGTTGGATCAGTCACACATTTACTCACTCACAGGCTTCCCTTTGCCCTACCTACCACCATGATTATCTCTTCAATACAGAAGATCCTGTAGAATTGCTGGGGGGGGGTGGAAGGGAGCTGGCTCCATGCCTAACTCTTGGTTCTCTGGCCCTCTAAACTTGTCAGATATTCAAGTTAGTACAACTAGGGAAGGCAGAAGAAAATATGCTTTGGGGAAGGCCTGAAGTGGGGAAAAAAATGTGGTTATACTCAGCTGGTAGTTCCTTAATTTTTCTCACCATCCTTCCGAGAAAAATACTGATCTTTCCACAAGCTACTGTTCATTTTGCAACTTTCAGTGTTTCTGAAACTTCAAGTTTCTTCCCCCTTCCCACTCCCCATCCCAATTCAGCTTTGCTAGAGAAGAATAAGAGTTAACTCATCCCGGTTCCAAGAGCTATGATGGGAGCCAAGTCCTTGGTTGGCAGTTTCATTTAAAAATCTCTGTGTGCTTTGTTGCGTGTTGTTCCCTCCCTCCCCTCATTTTCTGGCCCCATTTCAACTGACAACTGTTTGCTCATTCACAAGCTGACTTTCCCCCCTAACTTTCGTTTTAACCAAAGCAACAACACAAATCATATGCACCTGGAATTAGGAGTGTTAATTGATACCAGATTTGACTTTTTCAATAAAAAAGACGTGAGTATTCAGTAAGGGGAGGGGGAAGAAAGTTAAATCTACAACCCAAACAAACAAGAAAGAAGAAAGCAACTTTTGAATTTTCCTCAAGGGAAAGGTTGACAAGCTTAATTACAATTAAAATTTCCTGAAAACCTGTGGTAGTACTCTGTCCTTGTTGCCCTAGGATCCTCCAGTTTACTGATCTTAGGAAAACTACATTCCTTCCTTTTTCTGAGTAAAAGGCTTGATAACAGCTTAACTCCTATACCAAAGTTCCTACTCCATTTGCCCATAAGTTGACAGAAAATACAAGCATGAGTGCACACACACACACACACACACACACACACACACACACACACTCGTGCTGTTTTCCAAAGCCAAGATTCCATTTTCATAATGATCAGTCTACCATTACCATGTACCTCCTGACCCCCAGTAAAGTGGCCAGACAGCCTCTATTTGTTAAGAGACTTCCTTCCCTTCTGGGAAAACATTGACCTCTATTCTTATTTGCAGCTAATTATATGACAAACCAGTGGTTTCCAGTTTCATTTTGGAAATCTAGCTGTCTTCTTTCTTCTTTACTCCAGGCTGAAATAATTGATAGTAATGAGAGGGAAGGAGTTAGGGGGGAGGGGGAATTCCACTCTTTCATTCATTGTCCTCTATCATTCATTGCCCTTCTCTTTTCTCCTTACTTCTTGCCTCAGTTGTATCATCTGTGAGATAATGGCTTTAGTCTAGATCAACAATTCTCAAACTTTTTGGCCTCAGGAGCCCTTTACACTCTTAAAAATTATAGAAGATGCCAAAGAGTTTTTGGCTTCTTTGGGTAATATCAATAACAAATCTTATGAAAATCATTTTGACCTGGAGGACTCCTGAAGATGCCAAAGAGTTTTTGGCTTCTTTGGGTAATATCAATAACAAATCTTATGAAAATCGTTTTGACCTGGAGGACTCCTGAAAGGGTAGGGGGACCACCAGGGGTATGATGAGGACCACACTTTTGAAAACAACTGGTCTAGATGATCTCTAAGGTTCCTTTCAGCTTTGACAATCTTTGCTTTCTTCTAACTGCTCTCCATCCCAACAAACACACTTATTTTATAATCAACATTTCCCATGGTGGATTGAGCCTAAGGTGATGGAAAAGGCATGATTGAGTCAGGAGCTCTGGCCTACCAGGATTAGGAAATAATTTACCTGTATTTCACCAGAGGCCTTGTTGCCAATTAATTCAAGGCTTTTCTTGAATAGCTTTTATTCCCTCTGTAAGTTGGGCCTTTGTCAACAATAGAATATCAAACAGGAAAGGCCAGTGGCCTGCTCTGACCCATCTGTGACCCAGCAAGGCAGAGACTTGGCAGCAGCCTGAGCCCTAAGAAGTCAGGAATCCAAAAAGGGACCTTTGCTGGCTTGTCTCCGAAATATGTCTGTGTCTGTGTTTGTATGTTCTGATAAGTCACATTTTGTAACCACCCAGCATTGTACTTAGCACTATAAAATCTCATCATTGATTTACTTACTGACCCTGAAAATAACACCAGCATAAATATGTTCCACCTTCTTGTTCTGCTTCCCCAGGGCCTCGGTGACTAGGAGGACGTTTGGTCACAGTGGCATTGCAGTGCATACGTGGTATGCATGTCCAGCATTAATCAAGTCCATATGGGCTATGGCCATTAGCCAACACCAATTCTACCTGGACAGAAAGCAGAGTAAGGTAAAACTCTTCCCTGGGACATGGAGGGAACAATTTCTGTTTACACTAAAGATTTCACAAAAGTGGGAGCTTTCTCCTAGATAGACCATGTATCTACCTGAGGTCATAGGCTGGATAGGCCCCAGGGATCACATAACTAGGGGATTAAAGATTGGACTGGGGCCTATTTTATTCATTACTGGCATAAACTCATGCCAGTCATGGTATTCTCTGCCTCGCTGGATTGTAGATAGATGGAATAAAACCAGAATTTGCCAAGAGACCAATTCCCTCCAAGGTGCCAGAGGGGTTTCCGGCCCACCCACAATCTCAATTGCTCATCCTTCTTGATGCAATCTGCTGAGGCTCATTTGTGGCATTCTGACCCTCTTTCAAACCATTGGGGGACTCACCTAGGAGCAAAAAAGGAAAAGTCTTTAACTAGCATTTTATACAGTGGCAAATTGTTTTCTTCTTTCTAGAGGGGGACAAAAGTAGTAAGCTTTCTCAGTTAATAGACAACACCTAACTGTTTAGGATAATTGCTTTGACCCCTCCAGGCCTTTCTAACTTCATTAAACACACACACACACACACACACACACACACACACACACACACACACACACACACACACACACACACACACACACACACACACACACACACAAATGTAATGATAATCTTCTCCAAAACTAGATCCAGGACCTCCAAAATTTGTAAATAATCATCTTCCTTAGGCTCCCTATGATTCCCTCACACACACAGGCAGTTCTCATCAGCCAGTAGGTGGGTGGGTGACGTCCTTCTTGTTCACACACACAAACATATCAACACTCACTCCTTCCTACAACTTCACCTCCCCATCCTCCCCCTCATCCCCCTATCTACCACCATCAGGAGTCACTCCTACTCATTATCCCTCCAGAATAAAAGCATATCAAGATGGACTGTGTCCCTTTCTCAGGATCTTACTGCCATGGGGAAGGGGGTGAAAATATCGAATGAGCAAACCTTGGCAGCTGATCTGAGTGATACCACCGATCTCTGGTGGAGTTTTCTTTCCTATAGCATAAGTTTCTGTGGTGGGTGTGGGAGGACTCTAAACTCAAAGATTCATTAGCCCAGTGCAACTCTGCTGGTCTTGGGGATTTTCCCTTTTTCTGTATCTTCCCTTATATGGAGATTTTTTTTTCTGTCTCTAAGGGAGCATGGGAAAGGAGAGAGGGAGAAGAGGATGAGGAGAGGTATAGTATAGCTTTCACCGGGGGGCTATCTACCATGCAAACTAGCCATGCAATGACTGCCTTTTTTTTTTCCTTTTGCTAGTTTTTGTATTCCCACCACCTTCTTGGCATTGGTTGGGATAGGTCTGGGATAAAACTTCACCAACCCCCACCTTTGGGGATTTATACCATTAAGAACATACCAGCACTGTAGCCTTTGTGGTAACGATTTATAATGGCACAATAATTTGAGACTTTATTTGATACAACAAAATGAAACCATGACAAAGTTTCTCAACTAGTTCTATATTGCATATGTTGTATGGGTACAAGAGTTTTGCTGAAACTATAAAAGTTTATTGTTAGTAAGAACAATTGGAGGCTAAAACCTTTTAATACTGATTTGATGATTTTAGAGTTAAAGAACCTGGGTTCAAATCCTGGTGTTAGCATTTATTACCTACATGACCTTGGGCAAGTCCCTTAATCTTCTCTTCATCTGTGCATTGAAGGGGTTGGACCAGATGGCCTCCAAGGTCCCTTCAAGTTCTAGATCCATGTTAACATGATATATGAAGGACGGCTGGCTCAGTAATTTCCTAGAACATAGAGGTTAATCCTTTTTTGATGTAAAGTTCCATATAGTGATGCCATGAATTTAAAGAAGAAAAAATGGTATTTGGCTCCATAGATAGCAAACAATTAACAATAATAACAGTTTACATGTAAATAGAACTTTAAGATTTGTAAAACACTATGCTCCATAGCTGGCTGAAGTTGGTAGTGCAAGTATTATTTTCATTATCTTCATTTTATAATTGAGGAAAGAGAGACAGCTGTGGCATAATGAAAAAAGATCTAGATAAAAGGCAGGATGATCTGAGTTCAAATCCTATCTGTGAAACCTACCAGCTACCTTACCCTGGGGTAGACATTTTACTCAGTGCCTCTAAAAGCACTGTATGTTGCATTAGAATTTCCCATTGTTAAAAGAAATATCTTCACTATCCTTCAGCCCTATACCACTGAAATCCCAGTGGTGATCTGAATTCTTCCCACCCCTAAAATGAGAAAACTCAGTCTCAGAGAGGTAAAGCCACTTGAGCATGATCACACAGCAAATATTGAAAGTGGGATTTGAATTTAGATTGCAGGGTTCCCAGTCTAGAATACTACACCACAGCTGCCAGCCGAATATACTTTCTAGTATACCACAGTGCATTGCACATAGTGTTGTTCATGAATCAATTATGATCATGTAAAGATCATGTAAAGACTCTACCTCTTGTGTTTGTCCTGAAAGATGCATCTTATGCAGAAAAATGATGTAATAACATCAACTATTATTATTATAAAATATTAATAATTACAGATTCTTTTAATATTATATTACTGATGTAATAGCAATCAATTAAAAGATTGAACATCCCACTATTTCAGTAGCCAGCCTCCAACCTGTGAAGGGGAATGCATGTTCCAATTGGGCACAATCACTTCACCAAAGTAAGTCTTGAATGATCACAAATGCCATGATGCCTTTCCATTCCCCATAGGAGATCATTCTTTGACATATATTGTGTTAGGGATCATGTACAGGATCTAGGGGTCAACTCTGAGCAAGTACTTTTTTAATATCTTGTTGGGTTTCACTGTCTCCATCTGGAGAATAGGAATGAAAATTCTTGTCCTTATCAGGTAATCAAAAGTTTAAATGCAATGAGTATTGTGTGTTTACACTGCAAATTGCTACCACAGTTATGTTAGTCAAATGAATGAAAGCTCCCCAATTTAAAACTGAGGTGATAGAGCTGATAAAATACCCCCTTAGGGAAAGTATATCACAAAATCCTCATCTGAGGAATTAATAATATACATATACATGATATAATGTGTATAAATAACATACACACATATACACTTATATATATGTGTGTGTGCGTGTATACACATAAACTCACACACACATAAAAACCACTAAAATTCTTCCTGCTGAGGAGAATACCTCCAGATGAATTCTAAGTGATTTAATACTGAACACTTTTAAAATATTTTAGAATAGCTCATGTTGGCTAATATATCAGGGACTGCATCACACTCTACTGTATACAGTGCCACACCATCCATTCATTTCTCCAAAGCCTTCAGCAGGGCCTACCACATAATGTTTACCAACCCCAGAGACCAGTGTTGTCTAGTGGTCTTAGCAAACAGTACCCCAAAAGGGAGTCCCAAATTTCATGTTCTTTCCTTGGTTTGGACTACTTTCTCCTTGTGGATTTTGTGTGCCTGTCTCACGTACATGTATGCTGCATGTCTCTTCCCTATCCCTGTCTCACTCTCTTCCCTGCCCCCCATACACACACGCAGGCACACACATGCATGTACAAACCTGGACTTGCACTTCATTAGTTTCTCCCAGTTTTGTGGTTGAGGACCATTCCGCCCTGTGGGGAGGGAAATGGTGCACTAAGTATAAATTGACTAATGTCTATGAAACCCTTTGAGAACAAGAGGCACCGTACTGTAGAAATGTTCATTGCAATTAGTAACTGACCCCATATTACCTCAGAGATCAGAACAAGACAGCTGTCACTATCCAAGTTTGAAAACCCATTATATCCTTATGTCAAGGAAGGTCTTGCTGTCTCCAGATGAAAATATTCTAAACTGCAAGTTGTTTAAAGATCTATACGTGACAGAGAGTGTCAATCTGCCTTGGTAGAAGGCCCTTCCTCACCTGGGAATTCCCCATGCCAATGAAATCACAGTTTCCAACCTTATCTTTTAAAGAGCTAGCTTTTCCCAGAAACTTAATAACAGTCTTCCTTCAGATAACAAATAATTTAGGGGTCCTTTCTTCTTTTCCAAGATAATATTGGCTTCTTCGTTTTGTCCAAAACCAAGAGTCAAAAGAAATTTAGATCTTGCTTGCGTGAGCTTGATACCTCAGACTGGAAGGCATTAGGCCAGACAGATCTCCTTACTGAGACTCAGGAGTCTGAAGGCTCCTTCTGGGACAGTCAAACTATTTCCTTTGCCAGGAGAACCTCCTTCCCACCCCTCTCCCCCTTCATTTCTGCTATTACTCCAACCCAGCCTAACTTGGTCATTGTCATATTATCATTCCAAACCAAATCAGAAAGTTTTTCTGAAGTCTTCTTACCAGATTCTTGCTGCCTTTTCTAGACTTACACATTTGGGACTGTATTTACTAGGTATCCTAGGCCCAGAGTGAAGGTATTTCACAGATAACCCCACCACCAGCAGCAGCAACACACACACACACACACACACACACACACACACACACACAAAACCACATGTGTATATGGCAAGACTGAAGCTTCAGGTTTAACCACACAAATGTAAAGTCACTCATCAAATTAGTGGTAAATCTCCAGCTTGCATTTCTCGGTGTCCTTAGCTTCTAGACTTTTCCATCTCTCTCATGGATAACTAAATGCTACATGGGGGCTTGTTTCTCTTTTTATTACCACCAGCTTGTATGAGAGGGCAGCTGCTGCTACAAGAGGAGAAGCAGGATTTCTCCAGACACAATCTGAGCTTGTTCAGAGATAGGGCTCATCCAGATGGGTGCTGTTGATATTTCATGTCAAAATGAAATAGAAGCCCTTTCCTGTTTTCTGCTCCAGACCCAAATCCTGTGAGAGGGCTTTGGCAGCCATGATTATTTTATGGAACAAGGAAGCACTCAAGAAAGTCGACCTAGTCCTGAGAGCAAGGAAAATTGCGGAGGTCAGGAAGGAATCACAACTAGAGGAAAGATTCACAAGGTAGAAGGATGAGGAAGAAGACAGTGAACATAACAAGCAAGGAGCTTCAGCATTTCCTTTATCCCCTAGGTTTTTGTCTTGCTAACACATGGAAAGTACACCATGGTCGGGTCAGCCCTTTCCTACTCCCTCCCTGCATTCACCAGCTGTAGCTTGAATTTAGACTTTTCTCCTGAGCTCTGTCAAACCCTGGAGAGCATAATAGATGTCTAGACAATGTTTGCGCCACCTATGTGCCTAGCTGGCCATATAGAGAAGGGAACATTAAAATGAGCAGAAACAGGGACTCCCAGGATGAAACTAGAAAAAATAAATCCATTTATACTCCCTTCATAATATGTCCTTGACCCTCCACCTGTGCTTGCCCATGTAGAGGGAAGGCCATGGCATTCCTCCAGGCGGGGAATTACTATTCATTATTACTCATGTGGTAAGGTTCTTTAGAGCCTCTGTTGTGACTTTGAGCTAGGACTACATATGCATAAGTAAATAGATGAAACCTGTGATTTCATTGGTATGAGCAACTCCAGATCAGGAAGCTCCAGATCAGATTCACTTCACCAATTCTGCCCAGGAAAGACAGCTCCTACTCAGCAAATTCTAGTATTAGAGGGCTGCCTAGAGCAATGAGAATTTAAGTGACTTTACCAGGGTCATACAGCCAGTATATATCAAAAGATAAAACTAGAACCCAGCTCTTCTTAGCTTCAAGGGCAACTTTCTGTCCATTGCTCCATACTGCCTCAAGCATGTGTGTAGATTATATTTAAATATTGAACATTGTCTAATGACTACAGTTGAGAAGAACAATTAGCAAATGTGTCAATTACAGTTACAAGTATATTGTTAAAGGTAATTGTTTGAATACTTCCCATTGCTTTCATTACTGTCCTCCAAATTTGGTCCCCAGATGTTAAATGAAAATTGTAAACTTCAGACATATTTGTGGGAATGAAAAACATTTTTGTTTGCCAAAAACAGTAAACAAAACAGATATCTTAATTACCTTTGGAACTAAATGTATAAATGTAACAAATTTTTTATTGTTCTTCTCTACTGCAAACATTAACCAATATATAACTATATAACAATATAGTTTAAATAAAATTATATGTAATATATATTCTTAGTTACATATCTTCATGTGCTTCTTTTGATATTGAAAGCTTCTTCAAAAGTTTGTATTTCTACTTTTTATTGGACTCTGAATAACTCTGAATAAGGCAAGCATTTGCTCCATAAGTATTCACATCTTACATACTACAATTCCATGCCAACAACACATGCATACCTACTAACCATCTAACTACCATTCCCCTAAAATTATTAAGAAACCTTTTTGGTGAAGACCTTGAAATCAGCTTAAAATTTAGATGCAATGTAAAATGACTTTTACATCATGAAACTCCTATCAATCATTCAATCAGTCAACAATTTAGTGTTATCATACATCAAGCCCTGTGCTAAGCTCAGGGAATACACAGAAAAAGCAAAAACAGTCTCTGTCCTCAAGGAGCTTACAATCTAATGAAAGAGGCCACATGTATATAAATAGATATATACGAGATACCTAAAGGGTAAAAACAAGATGGCCTTGGAAAGGAAAATGTTAGCAGCTAGGCAGGTGGGGCAGGTGAGGAGGAGCTCTTGGAGAGGTCACCTGTAGAAGTTGTCACTTAAGCTGATTCTTGATGGTGGTCAGAAAATCTAAGAGGGGCAGATATAGGGGGAGAACATTCTAGGCATGAGGAACAGTGAGTTCAAAGGTACAGAGATAGGAGATGGAATGTCATAAGTGCAGAACAATGAGTGGGCCAGTATGGCTGGACATGGAGACAAGCAATGTGTATGAGTACTGAAAAGGTCAGGTTGTGAGAGTGCCACTCAGTGGAGTTTGGTTCTGGAGGTAATAGTAAGCCACTAGAATTTATTGAGGGGGCAGAGGGGCATGGTCAGACCTGCTCTCTAGGAAAACCACACACTCATACAAGTTCTAAAAATTCATCTCTTCTCCTTGAAGTAGACATGTTTAAGCACAGAATTAAAGTAATCACAGAATACTTGTAACTCATGTTCGATGATAGCTTGCTTATGTGTGCCCTTGCCAGAAGTTTCAGTAATATGTTAACTAATAACTGGATCCCAACTTTGCAGACTTGCAATAGTCAAATGCTTAGGCAAGTAAGACACATTGTCAAATTGTAGCATCACAAACAAGCGAGTTTCTGTTGTCCACAAGCAGTAAATGTTCCACCACATTTCTTCCATCTGATTCTAGTCCAAAATCCATGCTGCAAGAAGCCTGAGCGAGATTGCTATTGACCTGACCGAGACAGGAACACTGAAGACTTCAAAGTTAGCCAACATGGGTAGCAAAGGGAAAATTATCAGCGGCAGCAGTGGGAGTCTCCTTTCATCAGGTAAGGCGTTTGGTTTATTCTGTTGGAGAGTGCAAATAATAACACAACTCCACACCATCTAGCAGAACTGTGTAGGACTGGGAAACAGCAGTAGCTGACCAAACAGCCTGGCATCAAGAATGGAATACTATTAAAAAACACACACACACACAGTTGGGAATGAACTGAGATATCATGTCACAAATGTCAACAGGTGCTACCAAAAAAAAAAAAATTAAGCTGCAGCTGCCAATCAAAGGATAGTCCATAGTGAAAAGGATGATTTGTAATACAATACGCTTTTGACCCTAGGATCAATCAGTCATACTTGATGACTGATGAACTGATCCACTGTTAGTAATATCATCTCTAAATAGAAAAGAAAGTGGGGTGTGTGTGTGTGTGTGTGTGTGTGTGATTTCATGAATGGAGGAAATGCATTGTAGTAGAATTATTAAAGACCACTTTAAAGCAACAGCATGTGTTTCCCAGTCATCTTAAAGAAAAATTATAGAACCATTTCCCCTAATTATCTAGGATGTGAAAGATTTGTTTCCAGGAGGCTCCACAGCAGTGTGTTGGAGTGATATCCAAGGCCTGAGTTTTAGAGGGTCACCTTGGACCTTTGGCTGATGACTTCTTTAATAGAAAGCCTGTTTGCAAAGTGGTCATAGGCAAACCTTGACAAACGCAATTGCTCAGATAATAAAGTCCTTGTCACTGTCAAATGGCTCAACTTCAGAAACTGATACTATTTTATCATTGGAAATTGTATTGAAGAAGGGGTATTGCCATCGGCTCCATGGCTGCACCCTAAGGACCTTCCCATCCAAATTGTAGCTGAAACCTTCTATATGTGTTGTCTCCCTCATTACAGTGTGAAGTGTTGAGAACAGACTGTCTTTTCTGTTTTTATCCCCAATACTTAACACAGTGTTTTGGCCATAATAAGTGTTAATAATGCTTTTTCCATTCACATAGAAAAGAGCAAAGTCACCAAGACACCCCCTCCTATAGCCCTCAGTTTCCTGGAAAGCTTGTTCAGTAAGCCTTTTAGCTCCAGGCTGACGAGAATGGAAGAGCTTTGAAAGCAGACAGAAGCTCAGATTTCCCCTAGCCCTGATGTGTGGCTTGCTGATGGCCTTGGAATGAGTTTTTGAAGCTTTTGATTTATGCTTTTTTTAATGTGGCAGAAGGGTAGCTAGTAAAGCACATAGTCATGCCAGAAAAGACATATTTTCAAGATAAAAACAAAGGATTGAGGAGAATCTCCTGGCAAGGACCTTCTGGTTGCCATTGATGGGAGCCATATTTGTTTACTAATTACCAGTTGCATCTTTTCCTTACTGTCTGGCTTTCAGGCTGAGATTTGCTGTGATGGTGATGCCTTTGGGGCAAGGGTTGGAAAATCATGCAAGGCAAATTTCTATGAGGCCAAATTGCTAAGGGCCATGTGCCAACCTTCCCACTGGAAAAATCTTAAAAGTGAAGGTTACTCCACAGGCCACCAGACAAATACTTGACTGGCCTTTAGAATAATTCAGCCCTGGTTCTGAAATGTCAGAACAAGGAAAGTAGTCTGAAGCCTTGCCCATACACATCAGCTGATATGTATGTGAGGAAAAACTATCTCATCTCCTCTTGAGCCTTGATATCAGCAAACTTGGCCCTAGTGATACATCTCAGGAGCATCCAGTTTGTCTGAGTGATCATTTCAGAGCAGTCATTATAAATGGGCTATGATGGTTCCACAAGGTCATTTCAGCCAGAGGCCAACCTACAGAGTTTTCCCTTCCTAGAAGCACTTACCTGTAGAAAAGAATATAGTATGGTATAGCAGAACAAACCCTGGACTTGGGAAACCTAAGTTGGAGTGCTGGATCTACCACTTAACAACTCTGTGGCCTTGGGCCCATCACTAACCTCTCTGAATCTCAGAAATAATAACATGTAGACAACCTACCAAACATGCTTACTGTGAGAAAAAAACACTTGCAGAGTACTATACAACTGTACTATTAAATGAGAACAGAGGCATCTGCTTATCATAACTACTGGATTCCTCTTCTGATTCCCAAAATTGATCTTTCGGTCAACCACAAACCTGTCCTCGCCTCATTTCCTTCTTCAGTATCATGGAACTAATGTTATTTGTTCGTAAATGTCTGGAGAGTGGAAGAGGCCCTCCACTTCACATTGCAAAGCAAAAAGCACTTCGCAAAAAATTTGAGATCCTCACATCAAAGCCACAGGATTCCAGTGAGAACCCCATTCTTCTACCTCTAGTTGCCACCATGTGTGGAATCTCTGGCTAAGTATCAGAGGGTGGGTCAAAAGCTAACAGCTGTGTTTTCTTTTGGAAACAAAATATGATAGTGTATTGAACAGACAGTGCTGAAAGCTAGATCGAGTTAGCATCCACATTCCTATCAGCACAGAGCCCCACTCTGTATCTAGTCCCCTCTTAGCCAGCCCTGTTCATTTTTCAACTTTGGATGAGTGGGCATATCACCATGCTCATTTCACCATGCTTTTATGTCCAGTTCAAGATCTCTAAGTACTTTCTGAATATGGTCTTGTGGTGACAGATTCTTCATCTCTGCTTTAAAGATGGATAGATTAAGAGATTGCATGTCTTGATGAAGATCACAGTGTAGACATTTGGTGGAGCTGAGATGGCTTCCAAATGTCTAATGCACACAGTATTGCAGCCTGTCCCATCCCTGAAGTCTCCTGAATTGCCATATAGTCTTTCTTTAGAATGGTAGCCATATCTATGACAGTGATCATAGCTCTTTATGCAAGAAATGTAAACCCACAATTTCTAGCTCAAATGGAGAACAGTTCACTATCAGAAACAGCCTTTGTTGCTGTCGTTTTTTCTTAAATAGAAAGCAATTCGTTTGTATTGTAGTGATCACAGTGACATTTATAAAGCTGAAATAATGTAATACACACTTGTGGAACAATAATAATAACCACCAGTATTTACAAAACACTTTATATAAATTGGCTCAGTTTATTTAGATTGCTTCTTGAATTGAATGGAATGAAAAAATAAGTTTAAAAAAAGTTATTTTGTTTTTGCTCATTAGGGGTGGAAAGAGAGGATTGGGATTGCCCTACAAACCCTCCTTTGAAACTTACAGTCTTAGAAAATTTGCCTGGAGTCTTGTTACTAAGTCATTTTTCAGACCTGTCAGACTCTTCATGATCCTATTTGGAGTTTTCTTATCAGAAATACTGGAGGGGTTTGCTATTTCCTTCTCCAGCTCATTTTACAGATGAGGAAACTGAGGCCAATAGGGTTAAGTGACTTGGCCAGGGTCACCCAACAAGGAAGTGTCTGAGGCCAGATTTGAACTCAGAAAGATGAGTCTTCCTGACTGTAGCCCTAGTGCTCTATCCACTACACCACCTAGCTACCCTCAATACCAAGGAGCATTTTAATTAACTTGTCTATGGTTACACAACCAGTAGGTATCAGAGACTACACTTGAACGGGGATCTTTCTGACTCTTAAGGCAAGCCCTCTCACCTCCTCTGCATTATACTATCTCTTTGCTTTCTGCACACTTTGCATTTAATGGTTTTTTTTTTAATTCAGAGACATGAAAGACGTTTACAAATACTTAATGGTTTAAGCTTAGTTGCCTTTAGTTCTGTCCCAGCCCTTCTCCTTCTCCTTATAACTCTCCCATACTCATTGAGCAAGGATTCTTTTTTTTTCAGAGTTAAAGAAAGGACTGAGGAGTGAATCATGCACCAGACTAATGTCAGAGGTAACTGGACCAGATAGCACATCAGTCCTTTTTCACTAATGCATGTCAGAGCCTGAAAAGTGGTTTCAGCTACACGGATAATAGGTAGCTTAGAAGTTCCTGAGGTTAGACCAGTGGGAAGCTGGAGGATTAACTACCAAACAGGAGACTTATCATCAGACACCAAACAATGACAGCATCTTTAAATAATAATTATAATAATAACAATGAGAACCAGCTTCAGACACCACAGATCTTATCACCAGTCAGATGGGTGCTGCTGATTGTGATTCTTTTTTTCACTAGCTGTCAGTAGCCTTGTTCTTCCCTGATACTTGGAAGAGGACAGGACTCTATGTATGAGTTAATAAGTTAATGAGGGCTGCACTTGTTATGGACCCTTTCTCATCCCCCTTCCCCTACAGTGGGATACATGACCTTTGTCTTAAGAAATCCTGCAGTTCAATTCCTTTTCTCCAACCTCTTTCTGCCTTTTCTTGCATTGGGAAAAATTAAATGGAGGTGGAAAAGGCTAAATCGTTTGGAAGATAGTGTTCCACTGAACTCTTCCCAGGCTATTGTAATAGAAACAGATACCTAATGAGAGATCTACTCTGTAGCCTTGTAGGTCTCATCCAGTAAGATCTCCATATAAATATTATAACTATCTAGTGAAAGAATCATGGCCATTGTTCAAAGGATCATAGATTTGGAGCAAGTTATTTGAACTTTCTGGGCTTCAGTTACTCATCTATAAAATGAGGGCTTGGTACTATATTAGAGGTAACATAATCTGCTCAAGGTCACACAGGTAGCAAATAGAGGAGCTAAGATTCGAACTCATGTCTTCTTATTCCCATCTAATGTTTTTTCCTGTGTACTTCTACTGTGCCACTATGTAGGGGTAAAGGAACCTTCACTTCCTTACCCCTGAAGATTTACCCGACGTGTGTGAAACACGATCCTTCCAAGTTTGCTGCACCAAAGGTTTAAGGCCACTCTTGGGTAGTCCATAGACCCAGTCTGGTCAGGGATCTCCTTGACCATCAGAATGAACATTCTGCAGAGCATACATCAAACCAGTCAGGCCTCCAAAGAATATTCTGGTCTCTTACTATGGGTATTACTGGCATTCAAAAGAAAGAACAAGGTGGAACGTCTTCAGTTTTCTTTACTATAGAATTCTCCCAAAAATGTGCCAGTGCAGACCCAAATCCTGTATTTCCACAGCACCAGACCTCGAATCATGTTTTTAGTGTG